CATGTTGACCTTTGACGAAACCTTAACACCGATTCATTTGAACTGCATGTTCAAATTGAATGTTAAACACAGTCTAACTCTGACACTTCGGTTTCATACTATAGAGAAAGACATCAATGGTAACCAAACAACAGTACTTCAGTATGAACGTGCTAAATCAAACTTTTCTACTGTCCATCAACTTTCCTGCTGGGCTATAGAAATTTGGTCTTGGACGCGCAGCGTCTATAGCCCCACCGAGATTAGATACGCAAGAACATACTCTTAGTCTAAGTACTAACAACTTCTAAAATGAACTAGACAAGCTATTGACGAATAAAAGATATCAACAGTGTCGTTTTAAGTAAAAATTTCGTACAGTTCATGAGTTCATGGTCGATACAATGAATTTCCCAGCAAATAAAACCCAACATTAAGTCGGACGATTACTAACATTTTTCATATCAATTGTTAGGCCAATATGTTTAATATTCTGATTTCTCTGTTTGCCCTATTATAAAAAGAGCACGTTCACGGCGGATGTGACCGATCGAAGGGATGTCTACGTCTTCATGGCACCTGATCCCATCTCTCATGTTCTTTTCAAGGCCCATGTTGACTCTCAATCTGTGTAGTTTTAATGCAGCTTTGAACTGATTGCTGTTCGTTGTTATCTTATTTCAATAAAACCAATAATATTTTTTTTTACGCATTCTCTCCCAATAATCTAAATAGATATAGGATGAAAAATGATATGACTTATTATGTAATGATAAATGTTGCCGTCATTGCAGAAAAATATCTCAAGCCGCACAATCGCTTTCTCTACATAACTAAATATTATCACCTATCAATTATGTATAAATATAGAAACTTTGAATGTGTTAGTATATTATTAATTATGTATAGATAAACTTTGAATACTTTTAGTATATTATTTTTTAACAATGTCATAGAAGGCCGTTTTTAGCTCTACTGGTCAGAGACCAGAAGAGCTTATGCGATAGTAAGGTGTCCGTCGTCCGTCCGTCTGTCTGTCCGTCTGTCTGTAAACAATTTTTCAAAACGCTACTCCTCCTACAGTTTTGGTCTGATTTTAATATAACTTGGCACACAAGTAGACTACACGAAGATACATAAAATAGTGCATTAGTTTTTGATTTCGATGAACGGTGTTGCCATGGTTACTAAAAGTAGAATTTTCTGTGAAATTCCTTTAAAATGCTACTTGTCCTACAGTTTTGATCTGATTTCAATATAACTTGGCACACAAGTAGACTACACTAAGATACATAAAATAGTGCATCAGTTTTTGATTTCGATGAACGGTGTTGCCATGGTTACTAAAAATAGAATTTTCTGTGAAATTCCTTTAAAACGCTACTCCTTCTACAGTTTTGGTCTGATTCCAATATTGCTTGGCACAGAAGTAGACTACACTAAGATACATAAAATAGTGCATCGTTTTTGATTTCTATGAACAATGTTGCCATGGTTACTAAAATAGAATTTTTTGTGAAATTCCTTTAAAACGCTACTCCTTTCCTTCTACAGTTATGGTCTGATGGCAATGGCTTCTTTTCTCATCCTTTGCTATAAGTACAAACCAGTAGAGCTACAGTCTCGCAGGAGACTTCTGGTTGTGTTTTACAGGCGTAAGGGCAAATTTATAAGGAGCTAGTGCATGAATAGGACATTACAAACCTGACAATATTCTGAAAAGGTCAATTTTCTTTCTACGTTAAGTCTTAAAATTTGGTTGTTGCATTCAAACTAATCTTCGGGACCAGACAATAAACAAGGTTTGGTAGATAACTTTATAATTTTCAAAAAAGATAAGATTAAAAAGATTTAAACATTCAGAAAATGTAAAATACTAGTAGATGCAAAAATTCAGGATCACAGGATAGTCACGTCGCATCGTTTTAAAGAAGGAGGCGGGGGGGGGGGGCAAGGAAAAATGGAAACCCCCACCCCAGGAGAGAGTTAGAAAGAGAGGGAGTGCTAATACGGAAATTTCAGATTTCGCGGAAGGGAAGGGGGGATATAGGCCTGATAAAATCACATCTTTGATTCGGAATTCTAATAGAAAGCGACTGTTAGAATTTCGGAATGAGTCAAGTATCTTATTTTATATCGTATACGGTTGTGTGTGTGTGGAGTTGGGGGGGGGGGGGGGCTTCCAGGTCCAATTTCTAATTTTATTCTTTGGCTTCGGCTACATTAACGAGGGAGGGTTTAAACATCCTGTGACAAAAATCAAAAAGTTGGGGGATTTTGAACTAAAATTTTCTTTCTTAGTTTAAGATCTGACTTCTTAAAATAAAAAGGGAGTGGATTGAACTATTGATACTACCTGTAATTGACAGCTAGCGAAGGGAAGGGGTTACAAATCACTGAAATTATGTTCCGCTTATTATTTTTCAAAATCATATTTGAAGCAAAATTATTTTGTTTTTGGCGAAAAACGACAGCACATCAACCTCATTAGTGTCTCCTTCAATGCCAAATATTCCCGAGGGAAGGTTAGACTGTTCATGTGAGTATGCGATATCGATTAAATGAAAACAAAGTAAAACTCAAAACCAAACTGACAGGCATCTAGTTGAAATCGGAATCATTACTGTTAAGCGGCTTTCTGAAATTGCACAATCCACTTAAGTTAAAAATTTTGTCGTACAACATAATAAACCCGGACTTTATTTCAGTCAAGTCATAGAACCGTGTTATTAATAATTAGTCACTTCCTGGTTTGTCAGTCTCCAGAAAATTAATTAAATAAACTTAATATTGATTTCAGATTGATGAACGAATTATTCCACAGAAATCCCAACGTTCAAACATTTGTACACAGATCGATGTAGTCTTCTCTCATCTTTCTGTAAATCCCGTCCGTATTGTTCTGTAAGCTTTCCTTTCTTTTTTTTTCCCCTTATATATTGGTTGAATCAAGCAGGATACAATACTCAAAAAAACTTATTTTTGATGGTTTGGCTAAGAAGAGAGATAACTCTTGCATTGATATCCCAGGTTGGATGCATGATATTCAAAGAACTACAAATTAAATTAAATTTAAAGTAAAAATTTGAAATAAAATAAATAAAATAAAAATTGACAGACAACACAAGAAATGGGTGGGTGGGTAGGTTCCAACTCTCGCTCTTGTCGACCAAAAGAAATATTTGGGAAACAATATTTTCTTTTATGTACGTAAACGTGTCTGCATTAAATTCATCTTATACATTGCACAAGAAGAAAATACTGGAACTTGCATACTTTGGAAAATCAAACCTGAAGGAAAACATAGGCCCCAAGGACCCGGACGGTCTCCTGGGCTGCATTCAAGATTGTAACGGCTAACCTAGCAGCTAGGTGATAGATAGATATCTCTATTGAACGGACAGTTAGACTAGCTGCTAAGTCCAAGATTTGGAATCTTGCTAAGATGATTCGCTAAGACGTAGAAAATAATCAACCATCTTGGATTTGCTAATAAGCATTCAATATTTATGCTAGCTCTCTCTACGAAGTGGCTAGGCAAGCTTTGCGTTCAAGAGCGTAGCTTTAAGTAGGGGCTACTTAGCAGCTACGCGGTTGAACGCACCGCCTGAAAACGGCACTGTTAAACATCTAGAAGCTTGAACTAAACAAAACAAACCAAGCACGTAGCAACAGGGGGAGGGGGGCAGGGGGGGGGGGCAACATTACTTTTACTATTGGAAATGTTCTTTGAAAGGCTGGTTGCCCCCCCCCCCCCACTTTATAGTACACTAAGTTATTATCAAGGAAAATGTAGTATAGAAAGCTAGAAAGCAGGAAAATTGGTACCTAAAGAAGTTGCCCCCCCCCCCCCCCCATCCCCCATGAAATAGGATTTTCGAGTTTGGGCAATTTTTTTTTTTACTTGTCAACTTTTTCTGGGAAGTAAAAAAAAATTCTCTGGCTGCCCCCCCCCCCCCCCCTCTTCAAAACCGATGCTACGTGGCTGCAAACAGTTAGATTTAGATATATTGTCCAAAAGCAAGAGAAAAAGGATAATCATGGATCAAAAATATAATTAAGTAGGTACTCAGTAACAAATATTTAAGTCGATCTATTTATTATTTTTTTGCATGTACCTCAGTAACAAATATTTATGTCGATCTATTTATCATTTTTTTGCATGTACCTGCCAGTGCTAAAATTCTCACATACAAGAGTAAACAATGGCACCCTCTTCCACTGGCTTTTGCTGGTCTATGAAGAGCCTTAATGTACAAAGTTAGGGTATTTCTGTCTCATTTTTATCTTTAGATTATTTACCAGTCTAGTTTGGGCCCATAGGAAACAATTTTAGTGAAAGAGGGAGGGCATTTTCACTAGATGGGGGTACTATATGTACCAAGCAAAAAGCTATACATTATGCTGTAAAAGTGTTTATAAAAAAGTGTAAACTGCTCCAACCCTCTATTTATAACCCAGGTAATACTAGTTTAACTTCAATAGCTATTAAATTCATTCCTTGTAATTTAATTTTCAATCATTACATGCGCATAAGACAATTTCCCTTCAAAATTGTCTTCAAACTCGACATATCTTAATGTAATCATAAAATGGTCAATATAGCCCCATCCAACTCCTGAACTTCCTAGGGCCATTATTTTAACAATCTTCATAAAAGACATTTCATGTTAAAAACATGCAAACAGTTTGACTGCTTGATGTCCCATAGTATGGAAGAAGATGTTTGTTGACTGAATTAATTAAAACAGTTTTGAAGCAGACCCTCATACCTCAAGAACATGAAATTCACATCTCTGCCAAAAATGCTATATTTAATCACTATACCAAGATTGGTTGAAATTGATTTAGGGGTTTGGTTTTTGAGAAGAGGCTGACATGTTTAGATGACCAACAAACAACATCTAGTAACTCAGGTGATTTAAGGATACTAGTATTGAAGTATGCAGAACTATGGACATTTGCAGCATATCTAAATTAATGAAAATTTAAGCATATAAAATAAAGAGCAATAACTCAAACAACTGAATATTCAGTTTATTCAAATAAAAATTCAACGAAAAAAATCTTAAATCCATTGAATATCAATGACGTGCATTATAAATAAAACACAGAGAGACTGTCAACAGTGACTTAGCACTAAATTTATGCTGGCTGGAAAAAAGCTGATATATCAGCCATACCAGTGGCTACTCCAAGTTTTCTGATGGTTGCTCTTTTCCTAGCTTGTTGTGCAGTGACTTTTTGGTGACAAAGAACACACAGGGTCCTAAAATTGTCAATATCACACTGTCCCCCTCCCTCCCACACTGCCTGGATATGGTCCACATGCCAGAACTGTAACATCAAATTTATATCAATTAGGACTGGATAAGTGTATTTTTGAAAGGATAATTTCAAATTAATTTAAATCTATCTCAATATATTGGTAAAATTAGGTTTTTTGGGGGGAATCAAAATTTTCTCCCAAAACAAAGAAAAGAACAATTATGTTTTGTTGACCATTTTCATAAAAAATAATTAGTCTTAAAAAAGGCACAATTTTAGCAGAAAATTTATAGGACATTTTAGCAAAGAAAAAATCAGTAACTTAGTACCTTAACACTCTAACATAAGGTTATTCATTAACAACCCCTAAAATAGTTACAAATAAATAAGGACTTACTTGTCCTGCCACTGGGTTTTTCACTATTGCCTCTTTCTGTTTCGGATTTAGTTTGTCAAATATACTGGAATGAAGAATATCTATTCTTTTCTGCACATCATCTGTATCCCTGCAAAAATAGCACACAAGTTAACCACATGCTACATTCTAGATGTTATTTACTTTCAAGCAAGATATTGTTCCATTACTGGGACTTTGTAGGGTAACAACGTGACAATAAGTGCAAGGAAAAAAGATTAGTAGCCTATTACATGTATATTTTTGAGCATTATTCAGGAAAAATCTCCATTATAAGCTGATATTCTAGTGAAAGTGCAGGCACATCAAAATTGCCAACACATATACATAAAAAAGTTGGGTTTTTTTTTTTCAGTTACAAAAACAATATACCTTATCTGTCTATACAGAGAGTGTGCATCAAAGCTGCATAACTGACAAACGCCATGCTCTGCCTCATACAGCTGGTCTCTGCAGTAACTGGAATTGGTTTGGATCTGTAAAACCAAATGATAACTTGTCTTTATGTAATTGTTGAATTACTGTGATCTTATCCTATTTGGACACTTCCCATGCTCCCCTTCTCCAAAGACATTGGAAATAAACTACACAAGAAGGATTATTTTTAAAATACATATTTCAATATTTGCAAATGAACATAAGTAAAAAAATTGAGGCAAATAAACTTTCTTTTTATTATTTGTGCTCTGCACCTCAACATGAGCCAAAATACAGAAATAATCTCTATCTAGTATCTTTCTTGGAGGCAATGCCCCAACTTATTATCCCAATACTTACCCAATATTTGTTCATACATTTCTGGGAACAAAACCTTGTGGCCCATGCAGAATCTGAGTCCTTCAAGGTTTCTTTAGAAAGTAGACTGCTATCACATGGTTTACTGCAATTCAAACAGATTGGAATACCATCCGAGGTGGTGGCCTAATGAAACAAAAAATATAATAGAATGTATTCTTTATGTTCTCATACAATCCTATTCTGCAGTTCTTTTTAAAGTAAGACTTTAGTATTCCTCGGTCCTGTAGATCACTTAATTTTCACCAAACCTAATTTTCGCGAGATAGACATTTACTCTTTATAAGCGAAACAAAATGTTCCCAAATCGCTTTATATTACCTTTAGCAATACTAATAATATACAGTTAATTCTCGATAAACCGCCACCTTTTGTAATTTAGAAATCAAGGCGGTATAACGAATTTGGCGATGAATTGAATTTTCCATCTTTTAGGAAATAAGACGTAGAGTTATCGTTCTTAAAAATGCCATTTAGCGTTTCTATTTTTATTATTACATGTACATGTATATATAAACATATATCTAAATTTGAAAATACTTCATGTAATTTTTTTTATGTACAATTTCGCTAAAACAAAGTATTCAGTTGTGAAATTAAGACAGGTTCATGCATATATGTGTATGCATGTAAATCTGAACGTCTGATATTGAAAAAAAAATGCTGGGTCGATCGTCGTGATATATTACCTATAGTACTTAAAATAAGTTCTTGAATAAATTCATTGTTTATGAAGTCATTGTTAATGAAAGGTTCACAATTCCTGACTTATAATTATTTTTTAAGCAAACTTTGCATTGTTTTTAAAAGCAGAGTTCATCAAAATAATATCGTTATCGGCGTACTTTACAACGACCACTTTCGTGGCGAAGCCTTGACTAAATGATTTTATCAAACAGAAAACAAAATTATTTTAACAGCTCATGTTAAAATTATTGTTTACTTAATTGCATGTACCTTGACTGGCTTTGCATGTTTACGACAGGGATAGCGTCAACCAATTAACCGCGCTTCACTGACCACACGCACCTGTGGCGGTATTATCGAGATAATTGACACTTAAAAACGGACGTTTGTTGTGAAAACAGAGTGGCGGATGGCGGTATGCGAATTTGGCGTTATAAAGAGAATTTTATATAGCAGGAAAAACGTTCTTGGGAAATCATGGCGGTATTGCGAAAATGGCGATGAATCGAATGGCAATAATTCGAGAATTGACTGTATGTGTGAATATTTCCACGAGCACACTGTCTTGCGTAATTATGCAAAAATAAAGTTTTTGTGAATATAAAACTAAATTTACAGTATATTTTTGGGTTTACCTGTAGTAAGCTGGTTTCTGATTGGTGGGATCGTTTAACCACTCTGACATTCCCCTGAATTTGATTGGCTTTTGCTAATGACTGGGCAGCAATGTCCTCCTAACAAACACAATGTATAATTTCATTTCACATGTTTAATTCTACTTTAATTTAGACCTGAATTGCTTCCACTGTTTTTAATAACTTAATTTAAAAATATTTAAAATTATACAACTTTCATCTTTAAAAAAAAAGTTACTTGGATGGTCATATATAAAAATGGAAACTAGATAAAACCTTTGTTTTATGGCGGATAGTTGTGACACATCTGTCACTTTTCAGTGTCTCGTATGCAACAAGTGGACTGTCAAAGAGTGTGGATGCCTTCACTATTAGTCGGCGCTTGGTTTCAGTTAGGCTGAAATTTGATATTGAGAGGATAGTTAATTTAAAGTCACATTATGGCGAGATTTACTCAAGAAATTTTAATGTTGAGTGTACTCCTTCAATCATATGCATACTATACTTAAGAAATGGGATGTATTTAAAGACTAGATTCATAGTTACCTATTCCACTCCCTCATAAATTTTTGCACCAGTCTTAAATTCTGTGGATGTAGTAAGATGTCGGGGAGATTTCCTTGGTTGTTCATTTCTACATCCAGTGGCACAAAGTTGGCTTGGAGAGAGTCACCAGTCTGAAACCAAAGTAGCAATTTAAGACTAGGCTTAAAAAAAAAATAAGTTTGTTTCCTGTAACATTCCTAAAAAATCAATGGTCGGTAGGTCGGAAATTCATTTTTTTTTTTTTTTTTTTTTTTTTTTTTTATGAATGTTGAAACATCCCTGAAAATAACAGGCGTTATATTTACAGTGGACACCCAACATGGCATCCAAAATGGCTGCCAGCGGCAGAAAACGAACTTCAGAAAGTTGTAGGGGGAAACTGTTGTTACACTAATGATTACTCTTTATATTTAAGGTAAATGTAAACTTGGTTGACATATTTTATGTCTCAAATTAAGGTATTTTTTTTATTTAATAAATGGAATCAGCTGATTGATCAAACGAAGTTTTGCCATTTGTCAGGGAAAAAAAAATCCACCCGGGGATAATTTGAATGGGTCGGTCGGGTTACAGGAAACAAACATTTTTTTTTTTTAGGCCCTACATGTATATTATCATATCCAGATAAAACTAGAATATCACCGATGGTACAAAGTATGTCTGCCATTACACCAAGCACATGAAAGCTATTTGTAATTAAGAGGTGAAAATCTAATAAACCGAGATGTTCAACTGCACACACAGAAGTTGACAGAACATATATTTCATGTAAATCCATCCAAAAAATATGTGGAATAAAAATTATTGCTTATTACAGCAAAAATGACTCTAGGATATATCAAACAAAATGTTTCTACTACATATATCAAAATAAATTTGTCAGTAAAATGATATAATGGCTGACCATGAGTTTATAAAATGGTGGCTTTAATGTTTGTTTCTGTGACAAAGATTAAATTGCCTTTTGTAGATACAGCCACATTCATCGATGGCTAAGTATGACCCTTTACCTCATTATATAGGTATATTCTGCTTGTATATGCACTGCATTTGTACCAGAAGCTCTTATAGACAGGAACAGCTGAAATATCCTTTATAACAACATTGTCTTCTGTCTTTGTAGACTCAACATCTGCAATAAGAAAAAAAAAATCAGTTCTAATTTGATATTTTCATATTTATGGGTTTGCTAGATTAAGGAAAATTCAGTTACATTTAGTGATCATCAGCCATGCTAACTTTGGGGTTTCAACACTTGTCTTTGAAATTCAGAGGAAAGGGTATGGGAAATGTGCCCTGTGACAAGAAAGAATCATTTAAGATTCATGAGAATCCATCAGCCCATGACCGAATGAAATTATTTACCAACTTCTCACTATAAATGATAAATTTTTCATCTAAACTCCAGACAGTCAATATGTGCTGTGTTTTTTTAAACTGGTTTTCACAGAAACGCATCATGATAAAACTTTTACCTTGAGACAGGACTTCTTGATCCCAATCATCATCGAACATTTCACCTCCATCATCAGTTTCTCTAGTAGTGTCAAGATCACCCTCCGTCACTGAATCACTCAGGGCACTCTGTGTTGGTTGTGATGAATCCTCACAGGACTGAAGCTCTACAGTACTCTCTTCACTATCAGTCAATTCCTGACTGCAGCTCATTTCCTGATCATTGCCTCCAGTCCTTTCCTCCTTATCTGGATATTCTATTCCATCATCTTCATAAATATCTTGCTTACTTTTTGTACACTGGTCTTTGCAATTAGAGTTTTCAGATGATTGACTGCTTTGATCTGCTCCTGATTTCAAATTTGGGGAATAAGTCTCCAGGAAGAAAGTTCTACGTCTCTGTTTAGATTTTGTTGAGATTGACCCAGTGTCTTCACTCTGCCTTTCGTTGTCACACTGATCACACATTGACTGATCATCCTCAATGTCCCTCTGATCAAACGATTCCTCTGTTTTCAATGCAGAACTAGAATTATCACAGCCTGAAGACAACTGAAATAAATTTTCATTATGGCATGTTTCAGCATCACAAATCAAAACATTGCTATTTTCTTGAGACTCAACAACACTGTTTTTTACAGGCAAGTCTAGAGAAGCACTCAGACTTCCCTCATCACTCTTTTGACTAGATTTCATGGATCTCTTGGAATCATTGCACTTCAAAACATTACTATTTTCTTGAGATTCTTTATGTAAAACCCCGTCTTTCAGATATGAGTCTAGCGAAGCACTCAAACCTCCCTTGTCTTTCTTTTGACTAGATTTCATTGGCCTCTTGTTTTTTGGAGTGTTACACATTTCACAGTAGGGGAGGTCAGCATGGTTTTGAAATGTACATCCTGAACAACTCCAAGTATCAGATAAAGAGTCGGCCTTCTTCATATGTAAAGGTTTCCTTGTCAGTTTTGTCTTACCAAAAACAAACTCATCCTCTTCATCATTTTGCTGTTGAGAAAATAACATCCTTTGGCTTAAGTCCTTAATTTTTCCTTTTGATTTCAATGAATTTTCCTGTGAATGGGATTTTATGTTATTTTGGTCTCTTGGAGGAGTGTTTTCATCAATCTCATTCTCACCATCACTGTCTAAGAGTTCTATGACATCCTCTGAGCCTTGTGTGTTGATGAAACTCTTCCTTTTCTTTCTGAATACATTTCCTTCCTCTCTCTTTCTTTTCTTTCCGCTACTAATGAAATCCAGAATTGAAGGTTGGTCTTTTGGCTGCAATTTAAAACAATAACACTGTAAATCAGTTTACAGTGTATTTCAAGCAACTTTCATTTTCTTATGGATTTCATTAGCAACCTGTGCTTAGATATGCCCTTAAAAAATAATAAACTAATAGCTATGTAAAATATTCTCATTACGTATATAAAAAGATTTGTCTGTAATTTTTCATCTACACATTTCACAAATTTTAATGAATTTTAATGTAAGGTAAGGGTCACCTGTTGAGAAGCAAATATTGACGCGAAGTCTGTGTTACCCGCCTCCTCTGTGGACGGAGCCTTGTAGACGTCAGCTGTTGACAGCAGATCCACCTGGTACTTGTCTCCCTTATCTGCCTTCATCACCTGCTTCTGACCATTCAGTGTTGTGGTGGTCACAATTGTCTACAGACAGACATTTTATATTTACTGATCATGCTAAACTTTGTTGAATTTTTTAATACTAGATTAGTAGACTTGTTTCTAGTAGACATGTAATAGATAAAAATATCAGAAACTACACTTACTATTTTAGGTAAACTTTAAGAGTCACCATTTGACCAAAATAAGGTTAAGAGTCTTTTTTGGAAGTTGTCTGGAAATTGATAAGTTGCAGAATACCCCAAACAAGATAAGTCAAAGATATTTCATCCATGATCTTTTTATATCAATGTGTCTCCTAGCTTTGGATGTTACATTTTTTTTTTACCTTTCTACATATTGCAGACCAAACCCACTCATCCATGGTATCTTTAGCCACCAAGTAATGAACAGACACACATCTAGTTTGTCCAATTCTGTGTGCCCTGTCCTCACATTGGATTAACACCCCTGGGGTCCAGTACATCTCAGCAAACACTACCAGGGTGGCCTTAGTAAATGTCAACCCCTTAAAAAATAAAAAGAAGATGACATCAATTAAATATTGGAATATATCAAATACAATAAAACAACAGTGATGACATGATACATCATGATGTGAAAACCTACAGATAATTGTAAATTAATATCACTTATCATGGCTCTGCTGTTCTTTTCCATGTAAGATTTTGAAACCTTATGGTGCTTAACAAAGTCAGACCTTATCCTCAACAAACTACTCTTGCTGTTTGAATTTTCAATATGGCAAAATTGTTTAATCACATGCATACAACCCCTTCCAATTGTAATCTCTATACTAACCACTCCAGCAGCTAGGATGCTCAAAATGGCAACTCTAGTATCTGGGTCAGACTGGAACTGTTGTACATATAATTGTCTGTCAGAAGGCTTTGTTTCCCCATCAATCCTCACAAACTTCACATCATGTTCCATCAATGTCTGCTGTAGACCATTCATCATGGCGCGATGGTATGCAAAGACCAGGAACTTGAGGTTTTTGTTGTCACACAACATGGCAACATAATCTCGAGCAGGGCCTATCTAGAATAACAAAGAATCAAATAATATCTGTTTTCTTCCCTGCCATATTATAATCTTTAAATGTATTACATGTGTATCTTGTAAATTGACATCCAAAGTAAAGGCCAAGGGCCAAAAAAACTTAGACAAACTCACTTTTGATCTCTGATTCACTTTTACAAAAGTGAGACTCAGATTAAAAGTGAGCTAATCTAAGTTTTATGGCCCCAGAGCCAGATCTTCAAAATGGTGAAAAAAATATGTTCATCTTTTTAAAAAGGAAATTGGAGTCACTAAATTTAAAAAGAATCCATTGAAATAATTGATTTTTAACTGAACTCTTGATGACTATAGATTACTGGCAGTACCTTGGCTTCCCCACTGAGCTGATACAACTTCTGTATCAGACTGAGAGTGTTACCAGAGCAGCCATCATTGGTCGCCATGTCACAAACATTCTCCACCTGGCACCTGTCTCTCTTCATGGAGGATTTCAACTCTTGAAAAGTCTTCTGAATGTCCTGAAAATATATATGCCTAACTATAACACAAATTTGATAAGCTCAACTTAAAATTTATGAAAGATCAAGAACATCAGCAATTACTTAATTTGTTTTCTCTTTGATGTTCTATAGCAATCTCCTATGCAGAGCTGTTGTTCGTTCCTCTCTCAGACACCTCTGCAATTGGCTCACGACAAAATTTTTGACATAACGTATAAAGCAAAATATAAGTAGAATTTTTTCAAATTAAATTAATAGTTCTGGATTGATTTGGTAAATATTTATCTCAAAACTCAGACATGCACTTAGAAATTGACATATAATAAATTAAAACAAATGCACTATTTTGAACGTTTATCACTGTGATATACGCGAGCCGACGACAGAGGTGAATGTATGAGCCAATGGTAGAGAGTGGTTCTATAGATGCTGCTGCAGTTCTGATGTTAAGATACTGGAGTAATGTATAAGCCAATTTCTGTAGAGAGTTTTCTAGATTGTCACTATATGCCTTATATTTATGTTATATGCTGCTGCAGTTGTGATGTTTAATACCACGTGGAAAATAGTAATAAATGTACAATTTGACAATTTGATATGCACTGAGGTTTTAGTCTGATTTCATAATTATTTCCAAATGACAAAATTTCTCAATTCTGTCACAAAATGTTAGAGAGTTATTACCTGAATTACACATTACATGTATAATAAACATAAAGCATAAAATCTAACAGAGCTTAATACTGATTGTCAGTGAATTTTACTAAGGGAAGAATTTCTTCTAGAAAAAGGCAAATCTTACCAAACATGATTTACCTTGGTGACTTGAGAATCTTTCAGCTGAAACAATATCTGTTGTCGTTGTTTAGCTGGCAGCTGGGTCAAAACATCGTCTTTCATTCTTCGAATCATTAACAAATCCTTTAGTTTCTTCTGAAGCTCTGCCAAGTTACTGGAACCACTGAACAAAAAAAAATAAAAACAATTAAAATTTTAAGAGGACAACACTTGGTCTTCCAACCAACCTACTGATATGTGCAATAAGATAAGGCTTACAGGATATTTTTCTCTATTTATTCAACATGATATAGATTCCTTTTATCAATACAAATCGTCAAATCCTATCAATATAAAAATTATATTTTTAGGCTTTAATTCTTGGACATTGACTTCAATACAATGAGGCCTCAAGTACAACCAAAGTTTCATAGACTACTTATATCCTCCAGGGTATTATAATTGGTGAAAATCTTATCTGACCTAAGAAAACATGCTGTTGGGAACAAAATTAGTTCAGAATTTCTTACTCTACATTTCTTTTGCGGATTTTTCCTATATGCTGGATTCTGGCATCACAGAAGTGAGCTGTGTAGGTCCACCAGCTCCCGAACTTGTTAGGGCATATAGCATCAATCTGAGAGAACAGCTGCAAGACAAATAAAGCATATACATGTTCATGTGCAATTATTTGTTTAATTAACCTACATTGTACATGTATCTATTCAAAGTACATGTATTTAACAATATTTTACAGATTCTAATTTTTCTTAATATCTTATAGTCACTTTTTATTTAACCTTGATCTCCAGAACTGCATTTCATATAAATATTACAGTTAACCCAGGGTGTCTCGTCATGATTTTTTTACGACCTGATTTTCCTTAAATAATATCTGGTATTAATGATTTTATTTTAATATAAACTTGTTATGGTCATGAAAATATTGTTTCCTGTGACCTGATGGACCCATTCAATTTGCAGCCAAGTACATTTTTCTTTCTGTCAAATCTATGTTTCATGAATCAGCTGATGCAATTTTTAACAAAAATGTTAAATTAAGTTTTATTTGAGATATAAAATATGTTAATCTAGTAAACAATCACTTTAAATATAGAGAGTAATGATCATTATTGTAACATCTTGCGTATCCCCCACAACTTTCTGATGTTCGTTTTCTGCTGCTAGGCAGCCATGTTGGGTGTTCATTGTAAATATCACACCTAGATTATTCAGTCCAGGGATGTTTGACTCTATTTATTTAGGCCTTTATGGTAGGCAAAATGAAAGTTTTAAACTAGAATTAAATTATTTTTATTACTTGTTAGTCTTAATATGTGATCATTACCCTGTTCTCAACCTACCAACCCTTGATTTATTGGGAACATTTAAGGAATCAAACAATTTTTTTTTTAGCCTTATAATGTCTGGTTTATATTTCATAGTACAAAAGTGCAACTTCTGTTATCTTCACAAATTTTTAAACATTTACACATTTTGTTTCATTTGATATTTTATTCGGGCGACCTGAAATTCATTCGGGCAACCTGAACCCTGATGAGTACCAAGGTGGCCCAAAGGGTGAGATCAAATTCTTATGAGTATCAAACCCCGTAAACCTTTACAAAAACATCCTGAAATATACCATAATTTAATTGATATAAAAAATTTTATGTTTATAGTCCTGTTTCCTGTTTTGGATGCTAACCATACCTCTACTGGTTTGGAGAGGGAAGGCGTTCCAGACAGAAGGATGCGCCTGTTAGCGTTGCGGATCAGTGGGCTGATGGCTTTACAGGAGGCTGTCTTGATATTCCGTATGTAGTGGGACTCGTCTACGATCACCACCTGGAAGTTCTGATTGGTCAGCGCCTGCAGAACCACTTTGCTGGAAGTCTTTGACAACAAGCCATACGTGGCAATGACAATCTTTGCATTCTGAATCCAACTGTGGAGTGAAAATCATTATATCAAATAATGTGTTTTAGTTGTCCTTTATAAATTTTGTTTAAAAGGGGAAAAATATAGAGAGGGCAGGAATTTGAAACAATTTAACTAATAACTTTACATTTAGCAAGTACGACTGGGTCTTTGGTAAAACAATAAATCAATATTACAAACAGGGTAATTTATCTTGAAACTCTGTAATCTAGGTACTTCATGTATTTATTCTATCTGATTAAAATTTTAGAAGGAATGGGTGATTTGAAACTATATATTAGACAGATTTTTGTACATTATGGCTTAAAAACATTTAGAATTATATTCTTCAAAGTTTTCTACTTGTGAAGTTTTATGTATAAAGAAAATAGTTGGTCAAACCCCAATACAAGTATCTAAACTTGATGGGACCAAAATTGTATGAATTGAGATATCAAATATCTAAATACTTATCTAATAGAAAGAAAAAGGTTATGCTATTACTCATGAATGAAATCAAAGCAGCATGCATTCTTTTATTTTACTCACAGCACCAGAAATATTCTTGAAGTTGTATAAGGTACAACCAACATTTTTTGTTAACTTCTACGCCTCTAAATATGTGAAATATTCTCCAATGGGATGTAAAACAACATACAATAAATCAATCAAATTTACCTGGCATCATTCCCAGTTTGCACCATAAAGATATCTTCTGGACTTGTGTCTGGGAACCATTTTTCAATCTCTTCCACCCAGCAGAATCTCAAGGAGGAAGGAACAATGATAAGCAGAGGCCATTCTGATTTGTATAAGTAGGCCACTGAGAGAGCCTGCAGGGTTTTTCCAAGACCCATCTGAAATAATCCATTGCACGAGAAACTTTTAATCTCACAATCCTGAAGTAATCTTTTAATCTGACAAAAATCAAAAATTGAGTTTACATGATGGTGTGTACTATACCATGGTGCCATTCATATATATTCAATTAACATACCTCATCTGCAATAAGACATCTGGAAGAGAAATTTTGAAAATGTTGAATTTAAAATTTTCTGCAAGGTAACAAATTTGAATTAAATAATGCATTGCTGTCCTTATAGAGTGCTTACAGATGGCAGAATTGAAATTATTTTACTTTAAGAACTTACATGAATGCACAATAAGATTATTTTGATGATTCAATGAGTTTTATAACTTCCCCTTCAACATTTTTTTCAAAGTGAGAGTGAGCAATATCTCTACTAAATCAAAGCAAATTTATTATTTGTTTAACTTTTGTAGTCATTTTCGTGAGATGGTAATTTTAACAAGCCTTGCATTATGGGTCCAGAGGTAACTGCTGAAAAAAATTGTTGGGATCAATGTCTGAATTTGTCTTTGCTTAGGGTTACTTTAAGAGCTCGCAGTGACACTGTCACAATGTTTACATAAGTAGAAATAGTCTTTGGTTTAGACCTGTGTTAGTTCAAAAACACTATACTATATGAGGGATTTACCGGATATAATTTTCATTTCAGAGCTTTATTTGCTACTTAGTTTTTCCTGATTACGATTTAGTAACTGCAGAACGGTAGCTCTCCGAAAAAAATATATATTTCCAGTAGGGGTGAAACAATACGCCTCCTTCACGGTTCGATACGTATCGTAAAATTTAGTCTCGGTTCGGTTATTTTCGATACGATACATTTTGATAGAAGGAAACATATTCAGCTGTTGTTTTATGCTTTCTTTTACTTAATCTAGTCAAAAAAATTATGTGCGCAATGGATATAATGAATAAATATAATTGATTTGTCTGTTTGAAATTATTTTACAAACTTAAAGTCCACAAAATATTACGTTTTTGAACTAATTACACAGAGAAGCATGTTTATACCTTATGCCAAACCCGACTGAATGACGATCCCGACCGAAAAACGAACCGAACCGAAAGTAGAGATTTTGTACCCTGTATCGAACCGAGAAAAAATACCGCGATGAACCGTTTCACTCCTAATTTCCAGTCTGTCAATATATATTTTTGGGAGAGCTACAGTTCTGCAGCTAACAATTTAGATGCCTGATTTTAGATCAAAGTTATAAGTGTAAGATCTATTCAACAGGTCCAGTCCAAAGACTATTTCTACCTATGTAGCTTTTAATAGCTATTATTACCTACTTTTTGTTTTATGTACATTTTATGGCCAAATGACTGAACGGCGCAACATGGTGAATACCGTAATTTTTGATATAGCTACACTAATGATGAATACGACAAAATTTTGACCAAAAAATGATTACTTTCTGAATCGGAAATTTTACATAAGTTTCTATGCAAAATTGATAATATACTAAGTAATCATTTTTAGGCCAAACTTTTGTCATATCTATAATCAGTTTGACTGTTTCAAGAAATTCAGTGCTCATCATGTTGCGTCGTTCCTGCGTTTGGCATACATGCCAACTTTCCCGATTTAGGCGGGATTCTCCCGATTTTACCCTTTCATCCCGCCTTCCCGATCGGGAGAGAAAAATTGCCCCAATTTCCCGATTTGAAAAAATTCAGATTTTCAGTTTCCCTACCGCCGAAATTTGTCGATCGGGATAAGATTATCAGAGTTGTTTATTCAATGCACACAGATAAGTCTCATTGTTTGTTTAGCATGCAGAGTTAATTAACCACAGGAAATCACTTCTCGCTTCAACGCACACGCTGCTGTCCAGGTACAGGTAGCTTATAGCCTGGAGCAGTTAGGGGGTTAATCTTTTCAGTTTGAAGGGGTATGCGAAGTGAAACATATAGATTAAGGGCTTAATTATTAGTTATTGTATTAAAAACAAAAATTAAAGTCAATAAAATGATAATCAAACAATAAAATTGGAATCCAAGAAGATCGTTTTTTTGAAAACGAAAGTAGAAAATTTCAAAGCATATAAGCTGTTGATTTTAACTGCTAATAATAAAAACATTGTATAGTTTGTCAATTTTAAAAAAAATATTGAAAATAATTTAGATTAAATAATACTCTCATGTTAAGTACACTAAATTTCTCTCTCCCCCCCCTCCCCCATTCTCCCATAGATCATACTCATATTGTACATTGTATTTCTTTGTTACATATTTGTCAAGGAAATACCAGAGACCCATATGGCATTGCCAAGACTGCAAAAGTTCATCATGTTCATGATGTAGTCTTTTACAATTTTAATTTTTCTTTGGGATGGGTGGAGGTGGGGCTTGTATTAAAAAATTCATGATTTAATTAGGCTTATTTCTCCGAATTGTTTTGTGTGTGAGATAAATATAATCATGTACTGTCTATATACTTACTATAGGAAACTAGAGGTACTGTGAGCGATGAGCTCACTAAATGATACCCCCCGCCTCCCATATGGTTATAACTGGTGAAAAAGTCCATGTTTTCCTGTGGCCGGGAAACCCAAAATATGTGTCGGATCAAAAAGTAAAATAGGAGGTGCACAATGGCAATATGTTATAAAGATTCTGTGGAAGTTGCATCAAATTTCATTCAGTGGTATGAGAGGAGTTGCGGATAAGAGATGGGTACCCCAAAGCGTAACAGACGGACGGACGGACAGACGGACGGACGGACGGACAGACGGACGGAATTAACGATTACTATATACCCTCCCGCTTTTCAAGCGGGGGGTATAATAAAGTGACACTTGATTTAAAGGTACATACCAGAAACAAAATGTAAATTGATAGAACAGAGTGACAACTATTAAGCAAAGATATTTAAATTTGGAAAAATAAAACTTAATTAATTTGTATCGTTTTATTTGTGCTGTATTAATAAGTGCTATCAATATTATAATTAAAAAAAAAGTATTTCATAATCATTTATTTTCATGACAAAATGTCGCGAATTTAAAGCTTTGAAAATTGTCGTCACGCGCAAAATCCCCCATGGGAATTTTCAAAAGTTGGCATGTATGGCGTTTGGCCACACAACGCAAGTAAAGCAGAAAGTAGGTAAAAATAGCTACTTTGGGTAGGTTTAAATATCTACGTAGCTATATAATTTGCTGCGCAGGTAGAAAGAGTCTTAATTGGACTGGACCTGTTTAATATTCTGACACTGTCTGCATAAATGATTTTGATGGTGCGAGCAACACTGTCCCTAGTGGTCACATCGTAAACATATTTATAAACAAGAAAGTTGCGACTTTTTTGTTCAAGAGCTTTATTTCATACTAAAAAAAATTGGCAAACATTCGGGTGTATACATGTGCTTTAAAAATATGATACACATAAATAAAATTATGAAAACATGATAACATTTCGTTGCATACCTTCCATTCTTTTCCAATGCATATTTTATACCAGCTCTCTGAAATGGCATAAGACGTTCGGCCAATTTTGTTGGCAGTTTCTCTAAAATCTTAAAACTGTCTGCTTCCCTCATTCCGTTTCTCCCGCTAAGTCTAGGTCAATCTTTTTCTTCAGCTTATAATCAGATTAAAGGTTTTAACTTAAGCGTTTAGGGAACTAAGAATATGACACAGGTTTTACTAATATCCCAAAACATATATTGGTACGATTTTTAACGAGATTTTTGGCACAATTTGTATATTTATCAAAAGTAGTACAGAAGTCAAACTCCCAAACCTTTAACCTTTCCATGACTTTGGAATGGATGGGGCTATATGGCTTTTACATTTCACATAGGCGTCGGAAGCAAATTGAAGGGGGAGGGGGCTAATTGAAAGGGGGGGGTAAACCAACAAAAAAAAGTAAACCCCAATTTTCAATGCCTATATTATGTATATATTTGCAAAAAAAGTAGCGTGGCTAAGCCCCCTACCCCCCCCCGGTTCCGACGCCTATGTTTCACAGGTGTTCTCTTTGGCAAGACCTTTCCTTGGGTACCACTTCTTGACCTTGAAATTTGACCGGTTTTACAAAAAAAAAAAAAAAAAAAAAAAAAAAAATCAAACAAAATAAACAAGATGTATGTGTGTTTGTGAAACACTATTGCACCTGTATGACAGCCTATGACGAGAAATAGAGTTTCAAATGCATGTGAAATGTCATGGTCAAAAGGTCAAACTTGTTCACAGGTATTCAAAGGAGGGTATTTTCACACGGAATATACCTGTTTAATATGAAAGCCCCAGAACTAAGAATTCCAGTTCTTGACAATGTTTTAGTTTTAGTTCAAGATTAATATGTTGAATACATGTATTTTTATACCCATTGTAAGGTTTTGCCAGCCCACAGTGAATACACTGTGAAGTATGAAATCCCTGGCATGAATTAATAAAAAGATGTGACCAAAAACAAAAGTAGGGACATTTTTTGTAAATGTGGGTCAAACTCCGAGGTCATTTTAACCAAGCTTTTCTCAAAACACCCTTGAATGAAGGGGATTCAAGTTAATAATTCAGAGATAATGAAAAATTGGTGGCATTTTAAAAAAAAATTTCTTCAAGAACCGCTGTGCCAAGAAAGTTGAAACATATGGGAAACCTTCCTCAAGTAGTGTAGATTCAAGTTTGTTCAAATAATGACACCCGGGGTAGGACAAGGCCACAAAAATACGTAGGAATAAGTTGTGCTTGTGAAACAAGTTAAGCCCCCGATGGTAACACAATACTGGAGAGTAGGCTGACATACATAATGTAATATTATACTTTCATGTAAATTAGTTGAATCTGATTGGTCGAAAAACATTTTTTTAAAAAACACTATTGCCCGCTGAATAATGAAGTCACGCCCTCCAGCGTAGCAACAGTCAACATTTCTTGACGACGGGTGATATTCCAAAAAATAGCGACTGCGCAGAATTTATGCGCGCACGGTTCACTCTTGTATGTATTTGTATAAATCATTCAGTATAATATAATATAATAAATATTGCATGTAGTGGAGTGTCACATTGAAAATTTTCACCCCAAGAAAACCTTTGTCAACCGAGGCGCAGCCGAGGTTGACAATGGTTTTCGAGGAGAGAAAATTTTCAATGTGACACTCCACTACATGCAATATTTATATATTGCTTCATTTATAAACTCTTTTCTTCTGAAGGATTATTTATGCACCCATGGTTGAAATGTATAAGAGATATCTTGAATTCCTGTACACTGGTCTGTCTTAGGTGTGGATGAATAAAAATTTCATTGGTATTACATGGTTAAAATCTTTTGTGAAAGAAACGTTGTTAAATCAATTTTTACAAGACTGGCATATGAGCATAGCAAACCTTTTAAACACTTGCACAGCTATACATACAAAATAAAAATTGTGTAGATTATAAGTTTTTATACTCCATCAAAATCTGAATTTTCAAAAATCTTAAGTATGCTCATAATTTTTTTTATTTACGATTACTTTCATTTTATAAATATACAGACATGTTCTTTTCAAAATGGCCTTAAAGGGAACTTTTAGGGGGGGGTATTATTATCAGAAAATTGGTGTTTGGAAAATGATTAAAACTCTATGCATAGAAAATGTAAAGAAAATATTTATCTGACCTCGTACGTAGATTTAGCTAGTAAATCAAATGTTTTGAAATTTCATATGTGTCATATGGTCCAACGATTTGAAAATTACGATTTAATATATATTTCTAAAATAATATGGAACTGTATGCTATCGATTCATTTTACATAGATTCAGATGTTAGGACTTCAACTGACCCACGAACGCGACCCTACACTTATCACTCACCCTTGTGCCAGGATCATTTGAGTACAGTTTTGTTATTTTATTTCGGCAAAATAATTTTATAACTGTACAACCAAGGCCAAATATGACAACTTATTACAAAGTCGAACATGTGCATATTGTTTATTGAGTATGCGTGAATAAACTTTCCAAGTCTAAAACAAATGAGACCATAACTAGGCGTGTGATATTTAGAATAAATCAAGGTTTTAATGCACTGTATCTATTCTGTACGTAAAACACATTTATTAATTCATTATAATTTCATAATTAAAGCGCTTTCATTTTTTTTTTTATTTTTCCCAATTATCTTTATACGAAACAGCTGAACAGTATATGATTATAACACATGAAGCAAAGTTGGAAAAACTAATTTTTTAACTTGGAATTATCTATTTAAAAAAGAGCAAATCCAGAACCTTCTAAACATATTATAACTTTCAACCCTGTGACCTTGTCCCCGAAGTTTAACCCACTTTCAAAAATATTAACTTCCCTTATAACCGTCATTTCAATTGAGAAGAAAGTTTTTGTATTTAACATGTGTAATTCTATTTTTCCCGAGCATGCTAAGTGGCAACGCACTTTCAGTTTGAAAAATTTACGCACTTTGAAAAAGTTTAAAAGTGCGTTAAAATTGGTACAACACACACAAAAAATGCCAAAGTGCGTAATTATTCAAAGTGCGTTGTAACAATGCTATGGTCCACACTTCATTTCACTATGCACCTTTATACAATGAAGCGCATTGAAGTGGTAAAATTGTCTGTTCGGATGAAAAGTTTTGAACTATATTTAGACACGCCCATTTCTGTAGAAAGGAAAACTCGGTCAAATGAATAAATCGAATTCCTGTAGAACAGGTATTTCATAAATATAACATCCAATGAAATTGACGGTTTATATAAACACCGAGTAAGTACGTGTTCGAACACACATAAATTATGGAAAAATCGCAATGTGTGTTTTCATAAGCGGGGACTGCTCTTTCTTATCCAAAACTCTTAAAATTTCATTGTAACTCATGTTGATTGTCACGGGAAGTGCAGTGTCCTAAAACATTACGACGAATATTCCTTTCTCGTTTCTAAAGAAATGGGCGTGTCGTTATGCTATAAGTGACCTTCAAAACATGACTCATAACTTTTCATCCTATCGGGAAATTTTACCACTTCAATGCGCTTCATTGTATATAAACACAACACCTTAATATGCATTGTAGCGCACCGAGCAGGTTGACGCCAAGTTTATTGTATTGAATATATTCAAACATACAAACAAAGCAGTTCTGATATAACATTTTGCCAACAAACAAACAGGCAAAAACACATACACACATCGACTTTTATATTGATGCAATAGAATCTAAGCCTTAAAGCCTCCTCTGCCGCCCAGGAAAAACCATAGATAAAAAATATTTTGAAAAAACTATGGAAACCTGTGTATCCGCGGCAAATGCAGAGTAAGCGAAAAAATTGAGTGGCGAACCCTCACTCACGTTTTAAACATCCAAAAAGCTTATTCTTAGTTTAAAAAAAAAATTATAAATTCAACTATTGTATTTAAAAGCAAAATTTAAAACACGACTTGCTCGGGAAAGCGTGCGCTAGAAAGTGAATACTTAGTAACCACCCGTATATACAATCGAACACGTTTTCTCAATACTGACATTTCATTGGCTGAAACCTACATCTGTACATAGCAATGTTACCTTAGTAATACCAAACTTTCGTATTCGTTTACATGTCGTCAGGACAATTATTTTTCGCTATACTACGTAACGCGAAAAGATGTAAATTTTTACCTCTTGACCTTGACTCGAGGTATGACTTAATTTTCAAAAAACGTCACTTTGGTGGTTACTTTTGAACAAAATATTATGTTGTTCATATTTAAAACAATATATCATGTAATAAATAATGATGGCATCCCATACACAAAGACACTGCATGGGTCAATAGTGGAGGGACTTTGAATTTAAATTACTTGTTATTACATTTGTTTGCTTTTGTTTTTCGAACCCCCCTCTTTTTATTGCATAGAGCGCTCTCATTTCAAACGTGTTTTTTTTTTTTTTTATAAGTCCAGTCCTCAGGTTTTGAAAATCATGTCTTCATCATTAAACATTATTCATATTATAAAGGAAAAACAATAAAATCTGAAAGGAAGTTTCGGAAATGTGTTTGCTATCATATCACCTTAGATTATTTCAAATTTCGTTTCATGCTAATAATAAAGATTTCAAAAAATCTTGAAACCCACTGAGGTCATGGTTCCTTTTGGTTCCTGGTGAAACATAGGGCCTCACCAACTGAGATACATAATGAAAATGTTGCATAAAAATAAAATATATTTATATTTTGAGAGTTTTCAAATAAAGTCATAAATTTTAGAGTTACCCTTCCTAACTAAGGAGCGGATGTCCTTAAATACAGGGAAACAGCGTTTGAGTTTTATATAAATGTTAAAAATGTATAATATTATGGCTTAAAAAACCAAATTTTAAAATGGAGCCAAAAAAGTCTAAACATTTATAAATCAATATAGTATTATTAATTTTGTACACTTTTTAATAATACATGTATATCTTTATGAAATTCTATAATCCAGCAGATGTTAATTTTTTCTATAATTAAATATTTTTAACTTTGATTAAATCTTGATGCATTTAATATAAGAAAATTATTAATGTTTTGACTATATATTTTATATTTGTTTTGTTGGATGGTATGAAAAAATGAAGATCAAACACTAAATGGTTTCTG